TTCTTGCCGTACTACAATGATGATGATGAAGAAGAAGAAAAGGAGCAAGAGCTAGCCCATGATGAGCCCACAAGTCCAACTCCACCATCACCCGAGCAAGAAGAATCCACAAGTGATGACAACTCAAATGAAAGGCCGCATCGCTTAAGGAGCATACAATAGCTATATGAGGTAACTGAAAATATTAACGATCTAACATTGTTTTGTGTGACACCGTCCCCAAGCATGTTTACTTTTAGTAAATTATGTAATGAACCTTGAAGGATGATTTATGAACTTGCGTAATTGTTATTTTTTTTATTTCTTTTACGTGAATAGTAAATTGCATGTGGGGCCCACAGCGGGAACGAGGACCGCCCGATAATTCCATAACCACATATTTTATCCATCTTGATAAAAATAGTACGTATATGGTGGTGGATATTTTAGTTGGGCCATGGGAAGGGCATGGAGTTGACCGGTTGGTCAAACGAGGTCCAATTACCGGTATTGGCAATTTAACGGGTAATAGCCCGAAATGAATTCCGGAGACTCCTAAACTAATGTTGGGGAATGTACATCTATTCTAAAAGCTCATAATTATTAGGAACGCGCGATATATTTTATTTGGCCCGATAAAATAAAATATAACTTAAACAGTCTGAGAAATACAACTTTCGGGGCCGATTACACACACCGGAACATAATGGGATGACCTCCCACATGAGTGGGGGCCACCCCACGTTTTTATGTATTCAAATGACCAAGTAAGAGCTGGGGGGACAAGCCTAAATGACTTGTGCGGACAAGGAGAAGGGAGGGGGGTTTCCTAGAGACAAAAACTCATGCTTATGTCCTATCTCACACAATTATTTGTGCTGATTGAGAAGGCAACTTCCCCATCTCCTTGCATCCATTCGGCCAATCCACAAGAGAAGAGATAGCTCAGGAAAAACGAAGACTCTCAAGGTCTCGGCTAGAGGAAGAAGAAGCTAGGGAAAATCTACAAGGAATAGTTTGAGTTCAAGGTAAGAACTCCACAACTATTCTTTTAACTAGCTTTATGGTGTATGATTTGTAAGAAATCATATGATGGATTAAACCATGAGTTCTACACGTTTAAAAGTGTAGAATATTGATAGAAAGTGGTGGTAATTAACTTAGGAGGGTCGGCCAATCGATATGAGTCGAAATCGCCGGAAACCGCCACTCCAAAGGAGCTGTTCGTAGTTGCAGACTACGAAAGTCGCCCGGCTTTCGTGAAAGCCGCTCGGCTTTTGCCCAGCAGTCCAGTTTTTCACTTTCGAACGGCCTAGAACGAGGACGGATCGAAGGGCTTTGCAAAGGCAACTAGTCAAGCACTCTATAAGGTGAGGATGACTGACTATATTGTTTATAATTAGTGAGTTAATTTCATGAGATTACCTAAGGTAATTAAATGTGTTTTTATGGATTATTGATGATTAATAATGCCTAAAAATGAGAAGATTATTGTTTATGAGAAAGGAACATGATATACAAATTTAAGAATAAATTATGTATGATCATGTGTTATGAGTATGTTGACTTGAAAATGGAATTAACTATGAAATGCATGTTGAAATATACTTTTTAATTCATACTCCCTCCGTCCCTTAAAACTTTGCCAAATTTCCATTTATAAATGTCCCACTAACTTTGTCACTTTCCCTTTTAAGTAAAAAAATTGTGGTTCCAGTTAATTCTCTCTCCTCTGCACAAACCTCAACCACACACCTTTTACTTTATTAATCCACGTGCCAGTCAAACTTGGCAAAGTTTTAAGGGACGGAGGGAGTATAAGAATATCTGAATGATTAAAAGTGATATTTTGTATATTGATATAATGATGATATTTTCAATGGAAAATCAATGAGACATTTTATAAATAACCAAGAATAGAGAACTTGGTTTTGTTAGAATTCATTGGACTAGTATGGATATACTAGTTGGACATTAAAGTGAAATCTTGCTAAAATTGATCCTAAGGTTGGATTGTGAAGTATCATGTCTTAAGTAGTCTTAAGAGATGCTTTAAGGTAGGAAAGTATGAACTTTAAGTTATACTAGGGGTAGGCCTGAAGGGATACCCAAGATAAATTGAATAATAAATTGATCCTAGGTATAGGATTGGCCTACGGGCGTGTTCGGTAGTCCTTGAGGATAGCCGGTTGAATTATGGGAATAAGTAAGGACCATGGCCCTTTCCCGACTCTAGAGAGCGGGGGTTGGATAACATGGACTTACATCGTGATCACGGGTTAGGGTGGAATCCGAATCGGAGACCTAACTAGGCTTCGGTAACGGTAACACATAAGATAGGACCCCGAAGGGCCTTACCTTCCTACGGGATGATGGGTATGTGTCCAGGGGCGGGATGTTGAAATCCGAACCGAGAACCCCATGAGGTCTCCGACAGCGGTAGCAAATCCCGTAGAAATAATAAGACTAATGGGTTGGGTTGTACAAATGATAAATGCAAAGAATATATGAGAAGGGCCGTGTGCCGACAAATGAATGAATTTACTTATTATAGAGATAATAAGTGTGAAATATAAATAAATATTTAAATTATGATATCATCCTATTTTGAGGGTCTTAGAAATTAAAGCGTTGATTATACTCGGTATAGTTGTCATTGTACTTGTCAAATGCTTCCAAGTACTGACCTCCCCTTCACGGGTGAGGCCACCTCACAGTTTCAGGTAGAACGTGAAGGTTGCTACCATCACCCATTGCACCGGGAGGATCAAGAGAAGAAGGCGTGGTTCGTGCTTCTTCTGTTTGTTCTGATTTTCAAAACAATTATAATAATGCTCATGAATGTTATTTTTGAATAATCATTTGGGAGCTTGTATGCCCATGTTTGCCAAATTGTGGCATAGACACTTGTATTAAATGCTTCCGCTGTTTTAAATGAATGTTTTACATTATGTTTGTTTATGGATGTACTATGTGTGAATGGTATTCAAGACGCCTGTTATAGTACAGATGAGTTGGACTGCTGTTGACTATTCGTACTGTACGGCGGGTTGTTGACGTGTCCGGGTAGGTCCGGGGCGTGACATTTTGTCTTCTTGCTGATTGTGAACCAATAGGTTTTGAAGAAGCGACTAACAACAAGAATTGGAGGGAAGCCATGGATGAAGAAGTGAATGCCATCATGAAAAATGACACGTGGGAATTGGCCACCTTACCCAAAGGTCACAAAGCAATTGGTGCAAAATGGGTGTTTAAAGAAAAGAAGAATGTCATGGGGGAAGTTGAAAGGTACAAAGCAAGATTGGTTGCGAAAGGGTACAACCAAAGATCCGACATCGACTATGAAGAGGTGGAGATCACAATGTTCAAGAGTTTAGTTGGGAGTTTACGATACTTGACTTGTACAAAGCCCGACATTTTGTATGGAGTTGGTCTCATTAGCCGGTATATGGAAGATCCAAGAACCTCTCGTTGGAAGGCCGCCAAGCGAATTCTTCGCTACATCAAAGATGACCGTAAAAGTACTACCAGATTTGTCTTTCTTATGGCTAATACAGCTTTTACTTGGAGTTCAAAGAAGCAACCTATTGTGACCCTCTCTACATGTGAAACCGAGTATGTTGCGGCCAACTCTTGTGTTTGTCATGCTATATGGCTCCGGAATTTATTCAAAGAAATAGGCATGACACAAAAGGAAGCTACGGAGATATTTGTGGATATATAATAAGTCCGCAATAGCATTGGGAAAGAATCCGGTATTTTAGGGGAGTCCGAAGTGACATGCTTCTTCTTGGATTGGATGAGGGTATGGCTTTGGAGAGAGCAAAGTGGAGGGCGGGTATTCGTGTGGAGGAGTGATCTCGTATCATATTTTTCCCTCATCTTTCTCTCTCTTGTTTTTTATCCTTATATATAAAAACATTATTTGTATCCTTTTTATTTTATCATTTTTATGTATATTCATTTCTTTTTATATTATCTTTTTATAATATCTTATCTTTTTTATCTTTATTTTTTTCTTCTCCTTTTGGTGGTGATATCATGTATCGATTCATGTTAGCTGACCCAATATCTTTTGGGACTAAGACTTGGTTGTTGTTGTATTGGCTAAATGGTCAAATATGCCTTCGAACTAACTTAAAAAGTGCAAATCACCCCTTATATAAGAGGCTATGTCTGGCCGTCGCCATTTGGGCGGTTCTCGGTGGAATTTTTTGCTGAATATTTTTGAGCATCTTCTTCATTAAGTATAGTTTATTCATATCAAATTTTAGCTAAAAATTCAATCAGGAAGGCAGCCAAATGAGTTTTTGATGATAACTGCGCTGTTAAACAAGACAACACATTTCAGAAAATCATTTGACTGTTTTACCGGTTGAATTTTTATCTGAAATTTGGTATGGGTAAACTAAACTACACTTAATGAAGAAAATGCTCAAAAAATATAATCAAAAAATTCCACCGGGAACCATCCCAAATGGGGACGACCGGACAGAGCCTCCTATATAAGGAGTGATTTGCACCTTTTAAGTTAGTTCGAGAGTCTATTTCACTCTTTAGCCTATTTATATATTCAATAAAGGAATTTTATCAATTCAGGACCCGAAAGATAGATCAATTATCAATCCGAGACTTGAAAGATGAAATGTATCGATATAAGACCCGAATGATGGAAAACTATCAATTTAAGACTTGAATGATTGGAAATTATCAATTTAGGACCTTAGTTGTCCGAAACTTTATTAACTTTTTTATCTTAAAATTTTTAAATATTATTTAGTTTTATGAAACTAATAAACTTTTGTAAAGAAAAGTTTATCAAAAATTAGCAATGAAATTAATAAAAAATTGAATAAATCAGAACCTATGAAATTTTAGGTCCTAGATTGATAGTTTTTCATCATTCGAGTCCTATACCGATAGATCTCATCTTTCAGGTCCCGAATTGACAATTCATCTATCTTTCGGATGATGAAATTTGTTTAATAAATTGGAAAGATAGACCCATATTTTGGTAGCACCGGGTCTCTATTTTTATAGGATCGGCCCGGTTAAAGAGGAGGTTGTTGTAGCACTGTAATACGGGTAGGCTGTGTAGATCGAACCAGGAAGAGCGCGTGTCGAGCGAGTTAGCGGGAGGGAGAGAGCGAGTTAGGGTTTTGTTAATCTTAATCTCCGAAGGTCAGTGAGTGCGGTTATATTTCCATCGTAACGTTTGTAGGTACATGTGTTTGTTCCTTGCACTTGAGGTTTGTGGGAATTTGGTGAGTTTTTTGTGGTATATGATGAAGATGATAACGATTTTTGTGCGTGAGAAAGAGGTGTATATGTTATATGCAGGACTTGTCTTCCTCATTATTGAGTGTAAGCGCTTGATTTGTAGAGAGGGAGGTTGTGGGATCTCGAGAGCGCAAGAGGAACAAAAGAGAGAAATTGTGTGTGTTTGTAGCTATTTTCTAGATTTGTGGGTGCAGCGATTTTTACCATGACTGAGAGGAAGCTTGTTGTAAGTGCTATCTCATTCAATGTATCAATCTGTGGTGGTTCTTTCATTAATGAGTTGATTTTCGAAGGTTTTGGGTATCCCATGGGACGTAGATACAGAGGGTTTACGAGAATATATGCGCGGGTTTGGGGAGTTGGAGGACTGTGTCGTGATGAAGGTTAGTACGGCAGTTGCTTTTATACTTTATATTTTCTGTTCTTATATGAGAATTGTGTGAAAACACCAACCTGGAACAGAAAATTGTTTATATTCTGGTTAAAGGTAAGAGCTTGCAGAAGTGTGCTGCAAAATATTGATTTTTTAACTGATGCAGCACACTTATGCTAGCTCTTGCCTTGAATGAACAAGTTGTGAATCCTTTGTCTACTTACCCTAGTAAATAGCGATTCCTCATAAGGTACTTGATTCAACCACTTCTTATTCATGCTTTAGGAACGATCTACTGGACGTTCTCGTGGATTTGGCTATGTAACATTTGCTACTGCTGATGATGCTAAGGTGATGATTATGTATGCAATTGTTGTACATCTGTGGACAAACATGATTGCCTATTTTACTCTGTAGTTACATTTTAACATATTTATCCTGCAGAATGCTTTGTCTAAGGAGCATTTTCTTGGAAACAGAATACTGGAAGTAAAAATTGCAACTCCGAAGGTTGAACTAATTATTTTTGCTTGTCTGTGCATTTTGCCCTTGATTGATTTCTTTCATACTTTCTAAGAAACTTTTTTTCTCATGTACTGTGAAACTGTTAATGTGTACAGTGTACAGTTATTGTATGTAAACAGTAATTTAAACACCGGATACAATTCTTTGCAGGAGGAGATGAGGGCACCTGCAAAGAAGGTGAGCAGGATTTTTGTGGCTAGGATATCACCATCAGTTACTGAATCTACTTTCAGAAGGTATTTATTTAATCTTGTAGATGACATCATTCTATTATGTTTCAACATATCATCATTATTCTACTTTCAGTTATTGCAAAAACGAGTGTTGATGTTATGCTTTTCTGTCCTAAACTTCTAACAAAAATAATAATGAAACTATATTTTAAAACTCAATATTGTCTGTCACCAACTCGCCATTCATATGTTTTTCCACTTGAATGAACAGTATCATGAGACGACAATTTGGTGAGATGGTTGACACAGTGTTAGTCCATTGCACAATTGTAAAATTGATATTGTAAAAACAACATGCACATCATGGAACCATTGCGAAATGAATTTAAATTCTAACCTTTCGTATATTACCTTTATTTGTGATCTGCAGTTATTTGGGAATGTACTAGAAATGTAAATCTGAATCTATAGTAATTGTTTTGCAGCTACTTTGAGAAATATGGTGAGATAACAGATCTGTACATGCCAAAGGTTCGCATCTCTGCCTCTCATATTGCCCCGTGGATACTGATGATTGCTGCTGTTAATAATTCTGTTTACAATGCACAAAGCTTGAGTGATCTTTTTTACAAAATTATGCAGGATCCAAGCACTAAAGGTCATCGTGGGATTGGTTTCATCACCTTTTCAAACTCTGGCAAGTGTATTTTTGTCCTATCGCATAACCTTGGTGCATTTGATTTTTCTATTGATGGCTTGATATTGCTTTAAGTGAAACTTACTTTGGGGATTTTTTTGACCAACAACGTACTGAAAATATGTATGAAATAATTATCTCAACCCATCTCTTTCTTTCTCAGAGTCAGTTGATGACCTAATGAATGAAAGCCATGAACTGGGAGGCTCTACTGTTGTTGTTGATCGAGCAACTCCAAAGGTAAGCCTTATATATTTCTGTTTTTGTTTCAACATCTAAGTGGCATGACAAAGCATTTCTATCAACTAGGTTAGCAATTATCCTTCATCCAAAAACCACTCTGCTCAAGTCTTTTGAGTAGTTAGCCCACCTGGGTTCAGCTCTCACGGGACACCACTGACATCCAGTGGTTTCCTTGAGTGATCATTTACCTGCTTATAGCTGTGCGGGGAAAACATGTTGGGCTCCAAGTTTGGCCACAGCTGGTGGTTGGGCTCAGCTAGTGTATAGGGTGTTACTTGGACCATTCAATAGATCAATTTTGTATACTGTTGAAAACAGAAAATAAAAATCAACAGAATAAACCGTTTCCCAGAATAATCAACGGTAGAAACCATTGCCCAGAGCCAAAAGGCTAAACTCCAATTTTATTCATAGATAAGCAAGAATGAACCCTAACAAGGGGTATAAATAGCCTTCTAGTAAGAGACCCGAACAGAAACGTTAGTCGAGCCCAAATTAAGTAAACCCTAATTAGGCCCAAATTAACTCTACTACATACTCTACTAATAAGTAATAACAGGCCCAAACTAAAAAACATCATATAAAGTTTATAATAAGTAAAACTAAACTCCAGCCGACAACCAGCCTGTCCCCGCCTTCAGGAAACCCACGTGGGCCTCTGCCCCAGCATATGCTTTATATCAATTCCCCCCCGCCCCCCCCCTTTTGAAACAACCTTGTCCTCAAGGTTGAAATCCGAAAACCAGCTCACATTTGTCCCCGCGGGCTGCCCAGAATCTTTATGAAAGCTGCCACTCGATCCCCTCATGCTGCCACCACTCATGGCCGTGCTGTTGCCCCCGCTTGGACCCAAAAAACTGCCCGAACACAATTCCGTATTGTAGGGTTGGATTTCCCGGCCTCCATCTTGAAAGGACAGATTGTCCTCAATATCTCTGGCCAATTCCATTGCTATCTCCAGATTATTTGGCCGCAGCAACCGTAAGGATCCACAAATCGATCCACAACCCAGATAATGATCATCAGATAGCCCTGGGACCTGACTTGCTAGTTCAACAAAAATTGAGATGTACTCCTCCATAGTCCCTGTCTGCTCGACTCCGGACAGCCATTCAAAGTGATTTCCTTTAAACCGTGAGTCAAAACAGGCCACCAATGCCTGTGTAAGCTCATCCCATGATATGTCCGGCTTTCGTGCCCGTAACCAGGTCAACCAGTATAGGACTGACCCTTCCATTGTAACTACAGCGGCTGCCACCTTCTTTCCTGGCGGAGTACAATTCAGTTCGAACTGTTGCTCAGCCCTAGCAATCCACCCGATCGGGTCTTCCCCATCGAACGAGGGCAGCATGGCAGGTGTGCGGTGCTGCATGAACCACCATCACAAGTGGGCGCCGATGCTGCGGCGCTGGAGGATGCTGCTGACACTGGCGCCTTCGTCTCCGACGGTGCGAGTGCCCTCGTGAGTGCAGCTAGGGAGGCTGCGATCTCTGCCAGCTGGATGCTCTGCGCCTCCAGTTTCTGTCCTTGCGAATACAGTTTTTTGTTCATCAAGGCCTGTTCGCCCTCCACCTCCGTCAGACAATCGGCAATTGATCTGGTCATTCCGGATGGAACAGCATCTGGCAGGCTGGACCAATTGTTGAAAACAGAAAATAAAAATCAACAGAATAAACCGTTGCCCAGAATAATCAACGGCAGAAACCGTTGCCCAGAGCAAAAAAGCTAAACTCCAATTTTATTCATAGATAAACAAGAATGAAACCTAACAAGGGGGTATAAATAGCCTTCTAGTAAGACACTCAAACAGAAACCCTAGTCGAGCCCAAATTAAGTAAACCCTAACTAGGCCCAAATCAACTCTACTAATAATAGGCCCAAACTAAAAAGCATAATATAAAGTTTATAATAAGTAAAACTAAACTCCAGCCCAAATCAACTCCAGCTTCAACCAGACCACGAAAGTGGGCTCAAGTCGTCCCTGCCTTCAGGAAACCCATGGGGGCCTCTGCCCCAGCTTCTGCTTTATATCATATACTGCACCAGTTTAAAATTGCATCTTTTTGGCTTCATGTTTAAGGCAGTCATTGAAAGTTGAAACTGTACATTCTTGTCGTAAAAGTAATCAATACATTTACTTGGTTTCTAGGAAGATGATTTCAAGCCAGTAAGACGAATGCCTCAAGGTGGTGGATATGGAGCATACAACACATACATGAATGGAGCTACTAGATATGCTGCCTTGGGGGCTCCAACAATGTATGACCAACCACCTTCTTTGTATGGAAGTAAGTTCTTATTGATCAATAGAAGATGCATAAGTTTCAGACTTAACTTTGCCGTAGCATAGATGATTATCTGCTTAGCCTTGAAGTATTTATAATGTAGGAGGCTTACCCCCTCGTGGAATGGGGAGAAAGATTTTTGTTGGAAGGCTTCCTCAGGAGGCAACTGTAGAAGATCTTCGCCATTATTTTGGCCGATTTGGTCGTATTTTAGATGCTTATATTCCTAAGGTAAGCTTTAGTTTTGTTACTTTGAAAAATATTAGCTGGTTTTTCTTTGTTAATGGCCATTCTGTTTTAAATAGGACCCCAAGAGGACAGGACATAGAGGTTTTGGTTTTGTTACATTTTCTGATGATGGCGTGGCAGACCGTGTTTCGCGAAGACCTCATGAGATTTGTGGACAGCCGGTACCATTTTTGTCTTCCAGATATTTTTATGTACTTGTAAAATACCACATCTTGTAATTGGAAGAACTTGAAATACAGAGATATTTTTTTTCTTGAGTTGTCATGCGATTATTTTTGTGTCAATCAGAGAAGCCAATAATTTGCACCGTACATATTTTTTGCTCACCTTGTAGGTTGCAATCGATACTGCTACACCACTTGATGATGATGCTAGTCCAAGTAGTTATGCGATTGATAACCACCACCCAGAACCATATGGGGCCTATGGTGGCCCAGTGCGTACCTATGGCAGAATGTATGGGGGCTTAGGTGGTTTTGATGATGTGAGTTTCTTGTCTTTTCCATTAATAATGTGTGCATATCTGCATTTCATGCCACCATCCCCAACAAAAGGAGATTAAGGTGCTGATAATGATATACACGCACTAATATCATGGATACATCATTGCATGCATTCGTGCACATTTATTGCACACATTGTTGCACACCTTTGGTGTATTCAACTCAGCACTTCACATTGAAGCATGTTGGTATTTTTGTAAATAAACCAAACTTCCATTGTTTGCGAAACAATCTTACAGGAAGAGATATTCACATTTACACACACATTGTGTGTTGCCTTTGACCACTGGTTGTCTACTTTAATTTGTTACTATGCACCTAGAAATTCTCCTGTCACATTTAGTTTATTCAATGATTTTAACTATGTGCTGAACATTTGTTTTTTATATAGTGGGGATACGGCATGCATGGCGGCATGCATGGTGGCATGCATGGCGGCATGAGCAGTAGTAGTTTTGGGGGAGGAAGACCTTCACGGACAGATATGAGGTATAGGCCATACTAGCTACACTGTCATGGTGCTGATATAAGGTTACACGCCTTTCTGATGATAGCAGAGAACCCTCGAGCCGACTTAGTTGCTGCTATTAAAGCAGTCCAAAAGAATGGTTGGCCAAAACTCTTGGACTGATTTTCTTATGGTGTAGTATGAATTGTTAAGTTATTTTTTATTAGAGATATTATGGACTAGCAAGCTTTTGCTGGAAGGCCTAATACGTTAAAAGGATGTTCTATAAATTTGAAAAAGTTGCTCGCTACTGATGAAGCTAATTTATTTAGATCCTACAACCTATAATGTATCATTGTTTACAATTTGTATTGTTGTTGGACTTGTTACTTTTAGCATTGGATTCCCGCAATGAATTTCTAGTGCTCTTGTTGAACTTGTTTTATCTTTGGAGTTTGGATAATTGGATGCCCATAATCGATTGTTTTGGGAGATACATTTGCTCTCGTCTTTTTTCCAGATTTGCTAGCTCATCTTTGTCTATTATTTCTACTCTTTTCTTTCTTATAATTATGTCTATTATTGCTCATACTTCCATTTTTGTGATACTCTCTTACCCTCGAGGCCTTGAGGGTCGTATCTAATTGCCCGTTCAATTATTTATGTTGTCAGACCAAGTCTTTTTTATTTCAAATTATCTAAAAGGAATCCAATAATTCAGTTTCCCTGACTTTAATTGATATCTGAATCCAAATTTCACAATTGGGAAAAAGGTCAAATATAGGGATGAACTCGGGTCCGGGCCGGGTCTGGGTTGGACCTAGGCCTGGGCGGGCCAGCGGTTCAGAAATGGTGGTGGACCCGGGACTGGCCCGGGTAACCACCGGGTCTGGTCCGGGTCCGGGCTGGGCTGGGCCGGGCCCATTATCAATTTTTTTTCTCTCTTCCTAATTAACCTCCCTCCCAACCCCAACCACTCAAACCACCCCAAATGGCTCAAAATACCCAGTTCAACCCGAAAATTTAAAAAAAATAAAAAAAAAAAGAAAACTGTCAAATTGGTCCTTCTACTATACAAAAAAAGTCAATTAGGTTCTCGTACTTTAAATTCGATCAATTGAACCCTCCAACTAATAAAAAGCAGTCAATTGAGCAGTTCAACCGGTAAGGGAAATTGATAACTGCGCTTTTAACTTCGCAATTATCTTCAATAAATAATTTGAATATCTTCCCAATTGAATTTGTAGCTGAAATTTGGTATGAGTGAACTAGACTTAATTAATAGGATGATCAAAAAAATTCATCAAAAAATTCTATCGGAAACCGCCCCAAATGACGACGGCCGGACAGAACCTTCTATATAAGGTCTTATTTGACCCTTTTATGTAAGTTCAATGTCTTTTTTTGTATCCAGACATCTAGTAATATCAGGCCACACAAGTCGATTGAAAAATAATTATGGTTAGCGTCAAGGGCGGATGTATGCTAGGTCAGGGGTGGGCTTCAGCCCAGCCCAATTTTTTTTTAATAGTATTGGTACATTTTCAAATCTCAGCCCAGCCTAAATTATTTGTCAGCGCACCCCACAAATAATTTGTGAATCAGTGAAGTTATGAACTTCCGCCGTGAATTTGTAAACTGTGATTAACTGATTGTGTATTAAACTATTGATGTATTAATTATTATTATTTTTAGCATTTTAGAGTTTTAGGGCTAGGGAATCATACAATCGTTTTGATTATTAATTGAATTTTTGAGTACATAATTAAATAGTTTTATTTTTTATATATAAGTATTTTAATATATACCAATATTGAAAATGTTTTTTAGAATGGATATATACCAAGAAGGGAAAGAAGTTGATTTCATCATTCTTTTCGAAAGTGAATCGTCAAACTGGTGAAGGGAGTTCTGAACCTATACCTACAACAGTGCAAGATCTAGTCAATGAGGATCTTCCACATGCTGTAGTTCCTGAAATCCAAACTATCTCAAATTTGGATTTCAATGCTCGATAGACATGCTCGAATGTAGAAGTTTAGACTATTCTCGTTAATAGATTCATGTTCAAATTATTCAATAAGTATTCAAATTTTTATTAATCATTAATAAATTTATAAAAATTGCACTAAAACGTTTAAATTTTATGATATGTACAATAGTATAATTTATATGTGAACGATAGGCTCGTGTTCGGATCGAAACATCACTATGTTCGATCTCGGCTTGAATAATTATTCAAACTCAAAACCTACTCCGTATTCGAGTTCGAAACTTGTTAAACTCAATTCATTAAATTAGATTCGAAATCAAGCTCGAACTCGAGTATATAATTCAAAAAAATCTTTGTTTGATAACAACCCTGGGCTAAATTTGGTATGTATAGTAAAATAATTACTTCTGCTTAGCCCACCCCATCTCTCGATCCTGGATCCGCCCCTGGTTAGCGTTTAAATAATAGTTACTTTTAGTCAACTCTCGATCATCAACAAACACCCGCACATGAATGTATATTTAGATTAGATCAAGAAAACCGTTAATTGCAACAGTAACAAAATATTGTAATCCAGAATTTCATGACTAACTTTTACGGCGTGTAATTAAATAACATGCCTTTAGTTATGGTATTTCATTTCCAATCTCAATGCAAGTGCTTTACCAGATTATTATAGCCGAACCTACAACTCTACAACTACAAGCTACAAGACTCATTAATTCAGCATGACTTTATGAGGAGGTTAAATGCCGGGAAACATTTGTCATGTTTTATTAAAATAAGAGAAAGCACAAAATAGCTTCGTAAATGGCTTTTTGTGCTTCTTAAATTGCTTCTAGCCCATTTGGAATTTGGTTCTACTTTTTCCTCTCAAATCCCTTGTAGAGAGTTGTATATGAAATTATGAATATAGTCAAACACCAATCCAAAAATTTACATTGATTTTCTGTATAAGTTTTATCTTCCCACATATCTCCTATGTTGCATGGGAAACATGGGCAGAGGTGAAATACCACTATTTTTTTTACTCTAGGGGGCGTCTGAGGGAGGGGGTTGGGGACCTGGAGTAATAATGACTGAAACTCACTCCATTGAGTTTCAAACTCTTATGTAGAGGTGGACCGGTTCCGGTTCGGGCCTGGGCCCGGACGGGCCTAGGTTCAAGAAGGGGAGGCCTGGAACCGGCCCGGGTAACCCCCGAGCCCGGGCCGGGCCTCGGTTCTATTTTTTTATTTTTTTGGACTTTTCCTAGTTAACCCCCAACCCTCCCCCTCACCCCCAAACCAACCCTAACCACCTAAAATGGCCCAAAATACCCAGCCCAACCCAAAAACTTAAAAAAAAAATCAAAAAAAAAAAAAATTGGTCCAGCCCGAACCGGCCGGGCCGGTTCACCTTTTGGAGGACCCGAGCCCGAACCGCCATCCCACCGGGCCGGTTGGCCCGAACCGGGCCCGGAACCGGTTCACAGGTCCGGGCCGGGCCCACACAGTAGCGGACCGATCCGGTTCCGGGCCGGTTAGCCCGGCCCGAGTCCACCCCTACCCTTATGTGCCTAGCAGGTTTCGAACTCGAGACCTCTCACTAGGCACAATAACTTCACAACCAGTTGGGCTGGAATGCTTGGTTATACTACTACATATCTCTTGATAGAAAAAGAATTATTTCAAAATAAAAGAATTTATGTGCTTAACAAATCACAACATATCTCTTAATTCATTTTAGATTAAAACAGTCGTTCTCTCTCTCTCTCTTCGCAATATAAAGCATGCCTTAAAACTTTGACCTTGCCTCACAATGGCAATGCTTTTATAGAAGCAGCATGAGGTTTATTGAGTACATGGTCCAAACCTCCAGAAGGATAGAAGGGAGGAAATTGAGGGCACGGGAGGGGAGCTTTTCCTATTTGGAGGGAGTGGGAGGTCGTGGGGGTGACAAAAAATGAGGGAGATGGAAGGAAGACAAATCATTTAGCACCCTGCCTACTCGTGATTCAAACATACGGTAAGGCTCGAGGATCAGTTGGTTCACAAATTGTACCCCAATAAATGATATTCATTGTAGTCTCATGATGTACACAGATCTGTTCCTTTATACAAAATTGGTACAAAAACTGACACATGCTGAGCTCTACTTGCAATATATTACTCACTAGGATTCAACAGTGCTGGTGAAATTTGAGAACCTAGTTCTAAAGAGTGCGGCAGGATAAGCAGCCTCCAAAGGAGACCTTAAAACGCTTCCTGACTTTGTCTGAAACTTTTGTGCCATGACTTTTTGAAATTGCACCCCTCATCTCTTGAGCTTTACTCTGGGCATATCGCAACCTGTTCAAAATCTTGTTCATTGATGCAGACCTCTTCTTTTCTAGCTTCATCTGAAAATGTATATCATTAGCAGCTACCAAGGACAAGAATATTTGTATTCATGGAAATATGGGTGATTTGAATCTATTGAAAAATAAATGGAAATCTTGATACCACTATAGATATTGGAAAAAAATTGGACAAACAAAGCTAGACTTTATAAGTTCGTTTTGAACAAAGACAACAAAGCTAGATTTTGTAAGTTCCTTTTAAACGAAGACACTAAGACTATGGACATCTCATATAAATATTTTTTTACTAACATTTTTTATTTGTACTTCTTGAGTTTCTTTTGAATTTTCTCTGAGATTCAGAGAGAAATTTTGCTACGCCATATTAATACCAAAGACCTCAAAGTTGGATATAATATGTGGAAATTTCATAATTTCTAATTAGAACATATAAGGGATATCTACAAACCATAATAACATCATTGCAACAAAAAAGACTAGAACTATCTTTCATTGCGATAGTTGGGAACTCACCTCTAGTTTTTGAATAGCAGCTTCAGCTTTTGCCTTCTGCAAGTTCTCCCATGCACCGATTCTTGCTTCCTCCCTTTGAAGCATTAAAGTGTTGGACATGTCAAAACATTTGTGATCCAAAACAAGGAAAGTATTTTTAATGTCCCATTTGGAAGCATTACGAGATTATTTTTTTATTCTGATAATCAGAGAAAGCAGAATTCCTTATTTAGATGGAAATGGCTTTACCAAATGCTTTTCCTTTACAAGATTGAAAGTTTGAAAGTTTAGCCATTTCATCCAAATAACATATATTGATTCAGCTAAATCTCAGAACAAAAGAAAAAAATTGAAAGTTTGAACAGGAAACGATTTCACATACTTCGACCCACTTCCTGTTGTCTCGGCAATATTCCAATGTGACGAGGCAATGACATTTGGAGACTTTTTCTCTAATTTTCCTGACCTGTGGTTGGAAATGGAAACACCTTTGTCTACTTGTACGTCTCTAATTTCAACCTTAGCAGAGAGTTTGTTGTGTTCATCCTCCACAGGGATTGGGAGAGGAAAGGAAGGCAGTGGTGAGCGTTCTTTGGGAGATGAATGAATACTCTCGTCTGGGCTCATCTGCGTTGCCATATCCCTCCTTGAAACCACATGCAACTCATCTGATTCTGCGACCTTCCCTGTACCAAGTTTATCATCTGCAGGTCAGTTCATCAATGATTAGCTCTACCCACTGTTGTAGAAATAAAGAGAATGAACAAAAATGCCACTTGTAATGCAAGTGACCATAGGGATAATCCTTTTTACACTTAAGTGAAAGGTGGTTTTTTCGCAGTGACAAAACTTAAGTTAATACTTTACCTCGAGAGCTAGGCAATGAGGAGGCGTCACTCAATGAATCTGACAGACCAGGCACACTATAAGCTCGAGTAATCCTCTTCTCAGCACACAGTGAGTTAGCATTAGGATTAATGGAATTATCATAATGAATGCATAAGCCTTCAGGAACAATTACACCAGTTGTAAATGGTGAACTCCCAGTGAATTTACTAATGCCTCCTCCCCCTTCAATGAATGGAACATTGGGTGAATAATTTGGCATATACATATGACCTGAAGTTCCAAGCGGCCCACTTTTTGACTTGGCATGCCTGTGAGGTTGAGCAGCTGATGGGTTGCAAACACCAAAACTTGACAATGGACTAGTGATCCACCTCTCGGCGTCATCCCATTTTGATGGAAACGCCCTTGCATTATTACTGAACGGGATCAATGCGGTTGAAGTAACATTCCTCCTTCGGATATTGTTTGTGGGTAAAGGGACGCGCTCTGAACTCCAACCCTTTTGGACCCCACCAATATGATTGTCTCCATACTCTGGTGTTGATGGGCTTGTATAAGTTCCCGAATTCCGAAATGAAGTAGAACTTTTCCTCATTTTGCCTTCTATAATTCTACCCTACCAAGGCATAAACCACATTGCACTTACAATAATTTGCCAAATCTCACTGTCACTTTCATCTCATCTGAAAGTAATATTTGAATAAGCTCATATTGTTCAAAAAGATCACGAACTTCACAATAGTGTCATTGTTCTATTGAAAAATAAGCAACACGAATATGTGAAACATGAAACACGAAACACCATTTTTAGACTAAAAACAATTGTAATAGAAGTTCTCTTTGAGTTTCAGAGAAGTGGCCAGCCTTCTAAGGCTGGTTTAGTTAAGGGATTACAGATGGAATGGAAGGCTACAATTGATTTTATTTCACTAGTTTATCAGGATTTGATACTCTGTAATTTAATACTATAAGAAACTACTTCGGGTATGATAAGTTAGATCTTGTATTTGAATATAGTATAATATCCCCACTTTATTTTGAACCACTTAAATGTAAAAAATATTTATAAAACACATACCACCACTTCCCCTTCCCTACCCTCAAAGGTCTTGGAACCATACAAACTATAAGAGCTCAAGCGAGTCACAGATTGAGCCATATGCAAAGGTGCATATATGCACTTTCAGTTCATACACCAAGATCGAATAAAAGTTTTTGTTTATATTTTTTCAATTACAATTCCACTTCCAAAGAGCTAAGCTATAGCTTCCAGTCACCCTGTGTTGTAGAAAATAAAGTAATTTCCAGGATTTCTGGGGGACGAAATCTGGACCACTAGTTACTACCAGCAAGTACATGAACGAATTTATCATTCGTAACCTCAGAAATCGACAAAATCTAATCTTTTCAGCATTGCAACACAGACATCATGGGGAGTACAAAGGTGGGGGATAAAGAACAGTACAATCACGAATCAGGGAATAAGGATACAAATGAAATAGTAAAGATCAACGAAACTGAGTGTGTGGAAGGAGCTCTCACCTTCGATGGGGCTGGCGGCTAAGCTTGCCTCAACTCAACGGCCACTAGATCGATGAATAATCTCTCCAAAATATGCTCTTTGATCGAACTGAGCTAGGGCGCAGTAGAGTTTGATTCAGCAAATCAGCAGCCAGGACTTATAAGAGAGTCGGGTTTAGGAAGATGCAATAACTTTTAGGGGATATTCGAAAACTCCAAATGGTGGAGAATTTAAAAAATCTGCAATTAATGCTGGGTTTAATGATAGAGAGATGTTATTACAGAGGAGAAGCAGCAGCTAAAAGAGCCCGTCTAATTTCAGAGAAGCAAGAGAGAGAAGATACTGGAAGGGCATTACCGCATTAATGGCGGAGAAGAAAAATAAGTACTCCGTAGAAGAAAATGTTGGAATAAGAAGAGGACGGAGTTTTGCTGGCAGAAATTTGTCTGCAACAGAGACAGGGCAGTCCATCATGTGACCGAGACGGTCCAAGGGCAGACCGGTTTACGTTATTAGAATGAATTTTTTTATTCATTTATACGTAAACACTTTTTAACAGACGTCATTTAGAAAAGATAGTACTTTCTTTATTGTCTCATTTCCTATTCATTTTATCAACACAAATCACTTTTATTCTCTTACTTTATTTATCAAGTTTTTATTAAATTTGATTCTGGTTTTTGTGATTTTGTAAAATTTTTAATGTAGTTTCTGAATATGCATTTTTTTTCTAAAAATAATTCTAATGTGGACATGGATCTATTTATTTTATCGTCAGTCAAACATCGTAAATCGTAATGAGACAATAACAAGGGAACGGAGGTCGTAATTATTTGTATACACAGACGAGTGTAAAATATACACAAAATGTACGCAGACTCTAATTACATGTGTATACCAGTGATATTCGTTTAGAAAGAAATATTAATTATCGATATAAATAAAAAATTGTGTAAAGTGTGTACAAATTTTGATGTCCCGAGCTTAGGTAGCTTACCTCAAATCATGCGCACTTTTATCCGGTGGAAAAGTCATTTTATTAATGATAACCATCTGTCGCAAAAGATGAGAACACTGCCTTCCTTCCAGGGCTACGCCTTTCTACAGCAGTCAATGTTATGTTAGGGGGCGTGCAAATGTGTTGTGAAAGTTTAGTCCGAGTGATTCTGGTTTGACTATGAGTTGCATGTCATATTTCAATTCTTAGCTTTACCACTTTAATTATAAAAAATTGATTAATGAACAAAAATCTAGGTAACTACATACGGAGTACTAATTAGGTTAATGGTAACAGCTACTCCGTACTGATTTAGTAACACTATAACATCAGTATAGTATTTATGGCATGTATGTGTCATTGTTTTTGGAGTTATGCTAGAAGTACAAAAACTTTTACAAAAAGTCTTACAAAAGGGGTATGTGGCATCATCACATTATTTAACACATCACATCACATTTACAGCACTTTTACATCAATGGTAATTAGAATAACCACATCACTTGTTTGTAAGTTTTTTTGTAAGTGTGTTTGTACTTCTAGCATTTTTCTTGTTTTTGGCATATTATGATTATTATACTTCCTCCGTCCCAATGAACTTTTGCCAAGTGCAAAGTAAGTGAGAAATAAGAATAGTAAAAACTGTGTGATTGAGATTTGTGCAGAGTAGAGAGAAAATTAATTATTTTAAAAGAAACAAAGTTTTTTGGGACATTTAAGGGAAAATTGGCAAAGTGCACGGAAGGGAGGGAGTAGTATAGTGACACTCACGCTCAAACACAAGTACGAAAATTAGACAGAGGAGCGAGACGCTCTATCTTCTCTCTAGCCTTCTGCGATTTCCTCATTCGGACAGCCTGAAGCCAGTGCGGTAGTAATGCCGCCGGTGGATGGACCAGTCCCGGTGACCTCGCAGGCGAAGACTTCCTACGCATCGATGGTAAGAGATCCTATCCCAGGCAATCGATTGCATTCTCAGGGTTGCTCACTTTCCGACGCAGCTGAGTTGGGATCGTCTTGAACCGTCAAGGGCTTCCCGTCCATTTCCTTCTCTGAAAACGACTTACAGGTTCTTTCCCTCCCATTCCTATACACCCTGGTCGGTACTTTTCCATTCGGACGCCCCCTATCCCTGCGATTCGTAAGGCTTTTGAAATGTTAGGATTTGCTCAATCTTATTCGGTTGGTTTGCTCAAATCGAACATTGTTCTAATCAATTTCAAGTCTGACCTTGATTTCCAAAAAAATGGGGACTCCTCCCTAGCCCCCGTCTGGATTTCCCTTGAGGGACTCTTGATCCATTTACATGATTTAAGGGCTCTAAATTCTATTGAGGTAGGAGGCCCTTCTGCAGCATCTAGTGATGTTGGTAGCTCTGTACTTGATGTTCGTGTTGACCCCTGTCCCCCTGTGATGATTGTGCTGTTTCTAAGGTTGGTGCCTCAGCTTGTGATGTTACTAATGTTTGTGCCCCTGACAATGGTGCTGTGGCAGAGTCAGTTACAGTTGTTGGTGCTTATTGTGCCCCTGTAACTGAGACTACTTGTGTCCCTTTTGCCTCTGTTCTTGATGTTATAGGCGTCACTGATAATACTGCTTGTAATGTTTTTTATGTTGATACCTTTGTTAGTCATGTTGCTAACGTGGGTGCCTTTGTGAGTGTTGCTATTGCTGTGGGCGCCCTTAAATCTGCTCTCAAAGATGCACTGGCAGCCTTTATCACAGCTGCAGGCCGGTGCTCATTGTGTCCATGTGATTGAGAATGCCCCTTATGCAGCCTTGGTTTGGGCTGTTATACCTGTTAATGCTGCTCTGGCAGCCCTGGTTAAACTTGCAGATTCACATGTTCTTGTGGCTTTGGGTTCTGAGCGTGTAGTTACCTATGATGTTGTTACATTGCAAACTGAAATGCCAGTTTCTGATCACAGTAAAGTGGCACTTGATCATGCTAATACTCATTCTGCTACACTGCATTTTTCTGTTTCAGATGTTCAAAAAAGCCATTCAGGTCCCAAATCGGTGGTCACAGACCACTGTGTGGCTCCTAGTGATGCACTGCCTATAGATGAAACCTCGGTGTCCACCCTTAACGAGGTGGTAACCGAAGAAATTCATCAACCGATCACTTATTATGAGGCCCAAAATGGAAATGATGAGATCCTCTTTGAGCCAACGCTCCATGATCCAGTTACTACACCTGTCCCAATCCCGTCCAGTGATAAAATTACTTCTGACGACACCCCAATGCTAACTTTTTCTGTTTCATCGAAGCTTACATCGTCATCTGGATAGAGATACACGTCCAGAGTTCAATCTTTGCAGAATTGCTAAATGATTCTCACCTGGTCAGATTCTTTTCATTGCTTTTAATGAGAGAACACTGAGTTTGTTTTTCACTTCTGTCTGTAAGGTGAGTATTCTACTCAACATTTCACTTCCTTAACATGCTTAGGGCCAATTTGATAAGTAAGAGCCTTACCATTTCACTTCTGTCTTTATTCTTTTTTTGCTTACATTTATCATTATTATTGATGTTGTTATTAGCCAACCCCAATATCTTTTGGGACTAAGGCTTGATTGTTGTTGTTGTTGTTGTATTGATGTTGTTATTCTTGTTTTTTTGCTTCAGTTGCAGCAGTTGGAATCATATTGCTTGCAAAGTTGATGAGAACGTGATAAAAGAAATTGGTAACATTTCAACTGCATATTTTGTCCTGAATGTATTAGTGCTTTCTGATATCAAATCAGATCTTTTGAGTTTTTTGAAATATAAGTTTTCATCTCCAAACCGTTGATGCTCTTGTGTCTTATATCTATATATATAGTAAAACAGAAAAGTGGCAGCACAATTTTGGGCGGGAAGTGTGAAAAGGTTTGGCCTAAAAGGTGGATAAATGCTAGGAGCCTGGGACATGCAAGGTGTCTTTTGGTATTCCAGAGGAAGATAGCGCTGAAGCACGGAAGAAAAAAGTAGGGTATTAACTGCACTTCATTAATGAAAAGCACCGGCCAACTAAACTGGAATCATCCGGAATTCTTGAGAAGGGTAAAAGGTACTACATTAAAATTGTAAATCTACTAAAAAGAATATTGGAAAATGAATAGATAAATATGACTCCGTATTACCAAGTAATTTATATCCAAATCCTTCATTAGCTCATTATATATATATATATGTCGTAGTTGTGTAGATTACTATAAACTTAGCAATTTGCCTTTGTATACTCTGTATATTATTATTACTACTCCTTTGAACATTTAGGTGGTGTATAACTGGAATAAAATTTTTAAGGAAGAAGAGCCCTCATTTAATTTAAAGGTTGTTGTTCAATAATTGAGAGGGGGTGGAAGAAGCGAGCTGATTTTTTTAAAGGATTGGCTTGTGCTGGTGTTATCATGATGAAGAGAAGGAGAGAGTGAGATAGGGCAGCGGCCGGCATGAAGATGCGTGCGCTCCACGCCTCCACAGCTGCGGCTGAAAAGAAGCAATGGACATGGAGGCCGTGAAGACGATGAAGGTTTGACACTTTCAATCATTAGATCTGTATTTTGTTTGCATAGTCCCTTAATTAATAAGGCCCCAAATATATGTTTCACTGCTTTGAGTTTTGGATTACGTACTAATTTCTAGATCAAGATAACTTTGTTAGAATTTTTAGTTAAATTTAGTCTCTCTCTATATATATCTTCTCAAATTTTTGTAGAGTTTACGTAGTTAACACGTTATTGTATGTGCGTGCAGTGGTTTGAAGTTTGTGTTTGTCATCATTATTATAATTATAAATCCAGAAAAATTGTTTGGGTATTTGTTTTAATTTATGGTTTGTGTATAAATTGGGTTAATAATAATTGTAGTGATATTATTAAGATTTAAATTTCAAAGGCTCAATATAAACTTGCTTCAAAATGAGTTGAATGATGAAAATTGAATGTAAAACTAACATACTCCGTATTTTCCATGGTATTAAGTGTTTACTTTTAAAAATGAACATGTCGTGAATATGGGATGCATGTTGTGTCACTGTGTACATTTATAGGAGAGTTAGTTCACTTCAACTTGATCTTGCTTGCGAGTATCTTGAATTTTGTTGCAGGAGTATTAGTGTTATTATACAAGATAAGAAAAAACAATCACATGCTGAAACTCTTGAATACTCCGTATAATAGAACATATTAAACCCAGATTAAAGTCATCGAACTGCTATAAAAGTAGGAAATGGAATATAAGATTTTTTTATCCCATAACAAAGATATGTTCTCAATCTCCTACGGGAGATAGAAATTAACGAAAACATGCAGAAAAATTACTGCCAACAATTATAATAAAACTACAGATCGAATAAGTAAATACGGAGTACAATGTAAAGATAGGGGCGGAGGCAACAACGTGGCATGGTGATGGCTGTGGCAAGCAAATATGGAGATGGTTGCGAAGTTTTGCTCAAGCTCTGATACCAAAGGGATTTTTCCTCGTTAAATCCTTGTGCACTTTATTAT